CACCACGGGTAAGATCAAAGGAACCGACACTCAGGTGTGGTACAAGAATTCAAGCCTTTGGGGCTACTATCTCGCGTCTGTGGGACTTTCTGCTTGAACAAAAGCCACAGGACCTCTCAACCATAACAAGGGTCCAAATCGTAGGTGAAGAGAGACTATATATAGTTAAAGACCACCACACTGGACAGACGAAGAGACAACGATGTACAAATACAACATAATCTACCTTAAACGTGAGGTTGTTTCAGACACGACTAAGGGACTTATAAAAATCATGTGACGTCACTCCATTGTTTTGCACTATACCAAAACCAGCCAGTAAGACCGACTGACTGACTGAGTTTTGGTTTTACGCCGCTTTTAGTAATATTCCATAACATCACGGCGGGGGACACCAGATATGGGTTTCACACATTGTACCCATGTGGGGATTCGAACCATGGTCTTCGGCGTGACGAGCCAACGCTTTAACCACTAGGCTACCCCACCGCCCCCAGCAAGAACGAACTGGGCGAGACCATTATACTCCATTGCCTAGTGTAAAGTGATATTTCTATTTATGGCTAGTGCTTTCTACCGCAGATAGAACGGGCATAAAGAACAGTTGTTTTAATGTTATCAAATACATCTACGGCAGATAGACCTTAAAACAGAATTATCACTTTACATCAAGACATCTAATGATAGTTAACAAAATTGTATTGACTGAAAATAGAACTCAACTCAAGTGGGTTTTTTATATTTCTCCAAATAATTTCACAAAGAAAAATTGAAAGAAAACGAAAAGAAACGCTTGTCTCCTTCCTTCCTGCCGTCGCCACCGTTGTTACCATCTTTCCTGCCGTCGCCACCGTTGTGGCCATCTTTCCTGCCGTCGCCACCGTTGTCGCCATCTCTCCTGCCGTCGCCACCGTTGTTACCATCTTTCCTGCCGTCGCCACCGTTGTTACCATCTTTCCTGCCGTCGCCACCACCATCCTTTGAGCCGTCGCCATTTCTCCCATCGCAGCCTTGGACGTTTTACAATAGAGAACATCAGATATGCTTGCTTGCATTTCTGTACTTGTTCTTTTGTAAGATCTTACAGCCGAACTTTGGTGGCCCGTTAAAAGAGATAAGTTTACATTATGATTTGTATGTTTTGAAAAAACACACACATAACTTTCACAGGGAAGATACTCTTGCATAGACCGTGCTTACATGTGAATCGGACAGCCATATTAAGTGAAGAGCTAGTAAAATACTCAACAAAAAGCAAACTCCTGACAGTTTTATGAAATACCTGTACTCTGCAAAGATTGCCTATATAGGAAGTGAAAATACATTTAATTATATCCTTTGAAAATAGACTAGTGAATTCCCTAACGTTCCTAGCACCGGAGAAAAGTAACACTGCCACAGCATATTGTCTGTCGGCCATGCAAAAAAGCGCCTTCTAATGTAATGAACTAGTGAAAGAAACATTGTGCGCAGCGCAAACTGGGTTCTGAATAGTAATAGCAAAAACTTACATGTTATTTCCCAAACGTTACATATCAGGTAAAGCGTAAATTAATTATGCTATTCTGTTAAATAGTATTACCTGTGTTCGCATATGAGCCGTTCGTCAACTTTTGCGTCGCATCCGATACCCACAAAGAATGGTTGTTTTTCCCCCTGCTATTCCCGCTTTCTCGCACATCCTTTTAACCGCGGTTTTGAGAGCGTTGATACCAACTGGAGACGCCATAAACCAGCAGTCAGACTTGACAATCTTGAGGGGAGCGAGGTAGAAAGCATCCTGTTTGCAGGTTTTCCGGCTGAAACATAAGATAATGTGGCATTTCTTGAAAACAATGCTGATTTTTTGTTAAAAAAGATTTTAAGTTGTGTAAGCTTTTGTAGACCGATATATAAAGATGATACCGTCAACATTCTAAATGCATTTTTTTGTTAAAAATTGGATTTGAATGTTTATTAAACATTTAAAAGACCGATACAATGAATTATGAACATTGTAAAACAAAACTTAATAAATATCCAAGTTTTACATCAATCAGCTCTTGAATTAAAATTCAATTTGTAGCTTCAATATTACATTAAACACTTACCATAATGAGGTATACTTCTCCCAAAGGTGCACATAACAGCGGTTCTTGTTCTGCTGGTTGTCTAAACTGCTCTGGGTTTGAGTCGCCAAGAATACCTTTTTCCCATAGCGTTTCTTCCTCGTCGATGGTGTGGGCTGGCACTGTTCCCGCGTTCATACCCTGTAGAAGCAAGTTCCTTCATAGCGGCATCAAGCGCCCCAACAGTCCCTTGAAAGGCCTCATCCTCAAATAGATTGATCAATTTGCCCATTCGCCTCAAATACCCCTGTATTCCACAGACCAAACCATAGAGATTGCGATTTGTACTTAGTGCCATCTTCCTTTCTAGCTTCAAATACAAAACACTGCAGAGCTTCGTGTAAAGTATCGAAATCCATGTTCAAAATTGTGTTGTTAAGTAAGCATTCCGTCGACAGAACAAGGTTATCAGCGATAGAAAGAAGTAGTCTATCATTTTGCCATTTTCGAAAGCTCGATACTGCCCACTCGTTTTTATATTTAGTGTTTGTTGGAACTGCATTGTTTACTTTTTCTTGAATTGTTTCTTTGTCAAATGTTTCTGGTAAATATTTTCGTGCTTCATCCACACTTACATCAAGTTCTTCCTGAGAAAATCGACTCTGTGTCAAAAACAGACCATCGTCGCTGTCCATCATGTTCGCTAGTCAGTGCACGTGTGAGCGGCGCGCGCGTGAAATGCGCGCTTTATAGGCTGTGGGAGCACGTGACAATGGGTCAGTCAACTATCTACGGGGTATGCTAGGTGTTTGAAATGATTCATATATATTGAACGGATAACATGTTTAATGTTACTTTGGTGTTAATATTCGTTTTATAAGACAGTTAAGGTACGAAGATTCGTTCTTTATGGCTGTAGAAAGAACTCGGAGTGTGCAGGGTGGGCCAGATAGAACTCCGGCTTCGTCGTCGTTCTATCTGACCCACCCTGCACACCCCGAGTTCTTTCTACAGCCATAAAAACCGAATCTTCGCACCTTAACCCTTACAACCAGTTCAGGCTACAAATGTCCTAAATAGTTACTTATGATATCTGTACTGTTTCGGCTTTGAGACTGCTTGACAAACACTTTTTATGCAGAAAAAGTGCAAGACAAAAAGGTTAATTTTCAGGCAAAAACTTGGCCTATAAACAACACTCACTGATGAGTGGCACGGGTTGATAGTGAAGATGAGGATTGAGAATGGCGATTAGCATCAAATAAATAATTGGGTGTGTTTGGAAATAAATGTGTATCCGGACAATAGCTGTCCTGAATCAGTCGCTATGGCACAAGGAATAACAGGGCCGTCATATGTATGAGTTTATAATCAACAGGTATGTAGCTAAGATACATAGCGTTCAGGTCAGTGTATCTTAGCTACATGTATGCGGAGACTGACTGGGGCCATGTACCCCGACTGATTTGCTTGTAGAAACTGATTCATCTTACAACTGGTTTTCAGGCCATAACCAGATAGGAGGATCAGGATTTTCAACCAGATGTTTGATCTAAACTGTTCTGTGTAACGTTACTTTGAAGACAGACTGCGCATGAACTAATCTTAAACATGTGGTATTGACGTCAAATACACTGACTATTTCAGCAGGATTGGTTGGGAGGGAAATCTAACTCACCGACAATTTTCAGTGACCCTTCATTTTGACGTGGATGGCATCTATCTGTTATCGCAATGAAATGTACTTTATACAGTGATATGAATTGTTGGACATCAAGATTTCAAACCAAGGAGCTTACTAGCCACATCGAAGGTTTCGATATAATGATTTATGTGGACAAGTAGCAAACCGACGCTTTCACCGATAACAAGGCAAGGCAAGGCAAGGCAAGGAGGATATACGTTTGAAAAGTTGAGTTGAGTTGGGTTTTGCGTCAAATCGGCATTATTCCAGCAATATAGTGACGAGAACAAGTTTGCATAAATAAACATTGTAAGTGCATACTCGGTATGAGTTTTATTTCAAAAACATATATTCATTACATTGTCATTTAAAAGCAGAAAAAGTAATAGCATCAAATTTAAAGGCAGGCAATTTACGTTTGAAAAGACGCTGTTTAAAATAATCAACTCAAGTTGAATGTTATGCAATTTAGTTACACTGTGAAGATATAAGACCGTTGTAACATTGTATACAATGTATACATATTTGAAACCGACGTCATCACAGTGCGGCACTGAGCGGTAGACAGCCAGCTGACGTAAACAAGATACGTCTGTATAACACTATATATGTTCTCTGGTGTGTTAAATATTGTATGATATGCATTTTCTTGATAACGCAGATTCCATGTGGATCAGAAATTAATTACCAAGTTAGACAAGTTCAATATAACTGTGTTTTTCCCCGGTTCATTGAGGTGTGAATGGAAAACCCGATGTGCGACCTGTCCAACTCCGTCGCCGGTGTAACTGCTCACATATACAAGTCTCCTACGCTGAAGGTGCGGTTGACCACACACTTGCACTAACCAGATTGTAAATATATATAGACGGATGTTCTTTGTCTAACTTGATGCCACAAATCAAGAAAACAACATTAGGAGAAATAAAATTATGTTCATTGTAACAAACTGAAAACCAACTCCCGTATCCCTGTCTGGCAGCTGGGTAACACAGCCATGACGTCATAGGCATTGTGACGTCACCGTCACTGTACATTTGGCGCCCCGTCAGCTGGGCGAACATGGCCTCAGAGTGGATCGAGATGTAAACAAACAGTTTGTTGTCTGTTTGCCACATATCTGTGACTCAGGTTGTCACATAAATCACATATAAATGTCCGCCACTATGTCAACTTTCATGTTGTATATAAATATTGCACTCAGTCAACAATCTTCTTATCTGATCATGAAAACATCCACATGAAAACAAATGACAAAATGTCTGAAAATGTTTTCAACAAGTTTTATTTCTCCTCTAACTCAACAATAATTCTAACCTTGGTTCCACAATGTAAACACGACGACGTGAACGGCACGCACCACGTCAGTGTCAGTAAGAGCACCATCACTGTCTACACCACACGACATCACCGAGCAGCACGTGACTCCAGGAGATCCACCAGTTGATGATGTCCCCGGTCTCTCGCCACGTCGGCCGCTGTCTTCCCGTCGTTGTTCCTGGCGTTTACGTCCACCCCGTCCTGGGACAGAATCACCTCCACCGTCCCCACGTCTCCTCCACTACAGGCCAAGTAAAGGGTGTTGTAACCGACCACGTCCACCAGTGACACATCAGCCCCTCTACTCAGTAGCAGCTCCACCACCTCTCTGTGTCCCCGCTCTGCTGCCTCCATCACCGGTGTCTGGCTCCACTCTCCCCTACAGTTGATGTCCACCTGACCGAGATCCAGGATACGCTTCACCTCGGCCATGTTCCCATTACGGCAGGCAGCAAGGAGGGCGGCGACATGGCGGGGGTTGGAGTCTTTCTGTGTCACTGTAACAGAAACTTGTACATTGTACACGTGGTGTCACTGTCTATCAATACAATACAGCAATACTTGTACATTTTACACGTGATGTCTCTATCAGTACAATACAGGAAATACTTGTACATTGTACACGTGATGTCACAGTCTATCAATAAAACACAAGAAAAAACACTGAACATTTTGTTCAGACCTAATGTCTATAACAGTGTTTAGACGTGAATGAAAACATTCTGTATTTACTGTTTCAACTCCTTCACAACAACGTTTTATCCTGATCTGTGATACAAGTGTTGAGACTGGCGTGACATTCCAGTACCACAGTCCTGCCTACTTCTCTCACCTCCTTGACGTGCAACAATAACTTATCCTGATCTGTGATACAAGTGTTGACACTGGCGTGACATTCCAGTACCACAGTCCTGCCTACTTCTCTCACCTCCTTGACGTGCAACAATAACTTATCCTGATCTGTGATACAAGTGTTGACACTGGCGTGACATTCCAGTACCACAGTCCTGCCTACTTCTCTCACCTCCTTGACGTGGAACAATACCTTATCCTGATCTGTGATACAAGTGTTGACACTGGCGTGACATTCCAGTACCACAGTCCTGCCTACTTCTCTCACCTCCTTGACGTGCAACAATAACTTATCCTGATCTGTGATACAAGTGTTGACACTGGCGTGACATTCCAGTACCACAGTCATGCCTACTTCTCTCACCTCCTTGACGTGGAACAATACCTTATCCTGATCTGTGATACAAGTGTTGAGACTGGCGAGACATTCCAGTACGTGACTGAGTTCCTTCACAACGTTCATTATTTAGTAGACAACAAATGTGCCTGGGAATAATAGACTCGGCAGCCAGGGTGGTAAACATACACATTTGCCGAAATACTTACAAATAACCTAAGGTGACCTAGTAATTTGGATACTGAACAAATATTGCTCAATACAAACAAACCAAAAACCACATTTATGATGACTACCTCCACATTTTCAGTTTACTTACCCTGACATTACATCTCATACCAGATTCACATTCCCCGCACTTCTGCCTCTCCGAAAACCTGGCCTGGTATGACCCATTGCTAGATATATGACGTCACAACATGAACTAACTTGGTAGATAGATAGAGAATACTACACTCGGCCTCTTGACATAAGAATTATACGAAACGGGTGTCCTTCCTATGTTATCTGACCGAGCGAAAACTACAGTAAACTACCCCGTAGCACCCCGTTGCTTGGTTTGCAGTTGCTTCATTCGGCTAACATCACTGGTGGAACATTGTGTTTATGTTTTTCGACGGATATAATGTCTCAGTTCGACTCACAATTAAACAGTGACACGGCAACGTTCGCAATGTTTACATTCCCACAATGCATTTAAGTTGTAGAATGAATGAATTCACGTGTTTGGTAAGAATGAAAAAATAGTTACGTCAGAATGTGACCTAATCAAGAGGTCATCGGTTATCCAATCAAATCGTTATAATCTCAGGTCAAGTCGTTACGACACAGGTCAACGCGACACGACACTCGTGTGACGTACGAGATTAGTATGCAACTACCCATACGTTGACCATGCAGTTTCGCGGCAGTGGCCAGCGAGCAGCTCTTTGTTCGTTTTAATCTTATTTGTGACTGACGAAAAACGACAAGGCTTGTTACAATCGTTGTTGGATTGAACTAACGTTTTAATAAAGAAATTACTCTGAGGACTACAGACATTTTTCAATGACAGTACAATTTTATTAATTTACTGACTACGAATTCATGTACATATATCTGGTTATAATTGTTATTAGATCTATTGTTATTAGGTGTTGATATTTATTGCTTCAGTTATAAACGGAAACAAAACCGTGAGTTGAATATGAAATGCACGTGGTAGTAATTATAAGTTCAAATCTAACTTCGCATCGGCATTATCTCAGCCATATATGGCGACGAGACCAACATTATTGCGTTTGCGTTTGCCAGTCAATCTCTGAGCCTTGGCCAGTCGATCAAAGTTACTATCCGCAAAATATATAATTACCTCAGTATTGACAAAGAAAAGTGAAAAGATGTCTTGACTTTTCCCCTTAATATTATCAATATCATATAACAGTCAAGGTAGTTCCCAAGACTGAAAGTGTAACTCCGCAACATTTGGGATTACACTTTCTTAGTAAAGTACAAATTCTAGTACTTTTTGGGTTGAGTCCCATCCGGGATTCGAACCCACACCCTCAGAGTTAGGCACTCCGCTGTTCATCACAATGAGCAATTCAAACTGGTAACAGTGCTGTGTGGCCCAACACTGGCTGGGTGAGAAAGAAGGGTATCGCATTGTTATTGTCGTAAAGAAACAGGTTCAGAAATTATGTCTGAATGTCAACGGGGGGACTAACTGTCATTTAGGAAGTTGTTGTATTGTTTAAAACAAGTTAAAATCTTTTAAAAGCAGCTACATTCGTGACCCACTTGGTTATTCCGGGACCAGCCGAATACCGGCTCGTGATCCTCTGGAAGGATTTATTGGTGTACATAAACGTCGGAACTGTTTTAAACAAGCTAAAACGTGTATTTGAAAGTTCCACAATAGAGAAACAAGTTGAAAGTATTAACATGTTTTTATAAGTATCAAAATAGAGACATAAAAATTACTTTAAAACATATCTCAATCTGAAGGGCTCGTAGAGAGAACAGTCATGATTTAGTGTACCAGTGGAATTTGAATAGAATATGCTAAAACAATATGAAGAACCCCAAGAAACGTCAGACTAAAATATCCCAAATGAAGTGAAAAGTATGCACGGTGTTTAAAATTAAAGTTGATTAGTTATGCATAAATATACTGTTTTGAAACTCGTAGCTATTTATTACATTACCCACAAATGTCCGAAAGCTTACGTAAATCTCCAAAGCAAGCCCGTCAGATCGTCAGAAAAACATTCATTTTGGATCCAAATGCACGTGTGTACCGTATTTCCTCTAATAAGTGCCCGGGTGCTTAATTTTCAACGGACTTCCAGACCCGGCGCTTATTGGAGGCCGGGCGCTTTTGTGCTTACTGGGTGTCATTACCGTAATATTGTTAGTGAGTTGTTTTACCCTAGGCGCTTATTAGAGCTCCGGCGCTTATTAGAGGAAATACCGTATTTGAATCAGTCGTCGTTCGTGGTCCTATCCTTACTAAAAAAATCAAATTAGGGAACACAGTTTTGTTAACTATTTTCTTATACATGAGATTTATATTTTATCAGATTTTTTAAACAATTACAACATGACATGACCGATTTAAGTACTCGGGATATTTCAAGTACCTCAATCCTGCCATGCGTTTTGATTGGTTTGTCGGATTTCCGCACAAAACTTTCATCGATAGGGGACGAGTCTTCTTGGAGGTTACGGAAAGGGACGAGTGGTGACGAATGGAAATAACACGAGTGGGTCACGAATGCACATCAACAGATGTCTCTTTAACAGAGTTATGCCTCTTTGTGTTGAGTATTCGATAGGTGGAGAAAGTAACAGTTTACCACGCGCTCACAGTAGCCCCATATTGAAATACCTTTAAAATATCATGGAGAACGTTTTCATTGAAACACCACACATTCGCCATACATGAGATGCTATTGTATGTTCGCCCTGTGGTGGGTGGGATGGTGTAAAAAGGAAGGTGAACAAGCCAGAGCATAAGGCTTGCCCCCTCACCAGCAAACATATTCTCCCGTATAGAGTTACCTCCCTTACACCAGTAAGCCTATGTGGCTACATAAACTACAGTATTAAAGCAAGACCACACGATACTGGGTAAACGTTCAATTTAACCAGAGAATAATGTTCTCAACAGGTTATAGAGAACAAACCTTTCTTTCCTCCTTCCCTTCCGTGTTTGTCCTGGGTGGTTTTCTCTTGCACTACATCCTGAGGTTCCTGTACCTGTAATGATACAAGGTTAGAGCGACTGGTTGAGTACATGATGCATAATTTGACTGGTTGAGTATTTACCTGTCATGTTGAGTATACAGGGGTGTCTTTACTTGTCATGTTGAGTATAAAGAGGAATATTTACATGACATGTTGAGTATAAAGAGGAATATTTACCTGACACGATGAGTATATGATGCATAATTTGACAGGTTGAGTACACAGGGCAGTACTTACCTGTCATGTTGAGTATACTGAGGAATATTCACCTGACATCTTGAGTATACAGAGGTGTTTTACCTGTCATGTTGAGTATACAGAGGAATATTAACCTGTCATGTTGAGTATACAGAGGTGTTTTACCTGTCATGTTGAGTATACAGAGGAATATTTACCTGACATGTTGAGTATACAGAGGTGTTTTACCTGTCATGTTGAGTATACAGAGGTGTTTTACCTGTCATGTTGAGTACACAGAGGAATATTTACCTGACATGTTGAGTATACAGAGGTGTTTTACCTGTCATGTTGAGTATACAGAGGAATATTAACCTGTCATGTTGAGTATACAGAGGTGTTTTTACCTGTCATGTTGAGTATACAGAGGAATATTTACCTGACATGTTGAGTATACAGAGGTGTATTTACCTGACATGTTGAGTACACAGAGGAATATTTACCTGACATACAGAGTACCTGTCATATTGAGTATACAGAGTGTATTTACCTGTCATGTTGAGTATACAGAGGAGTATTTACCTGTCATGTTGAGTATACAGAGGAATATTTACCTGACATGTTGAGTATACAGAGGTGTTTTACCTGACATGTTGAGTACACAGAGGAATATTTACCTGACATGTTGAGTATACAGAGGAATATTAACCTGTCATGTTGAGTATACAGAGGTGTATTTACCTGTCATGTTGAGTATACAGAGGAATATTTACCTGACATGTTGAGTATACAGAGGTGTTTTACCTGTCATGTTGAGTATACAGAGGTGTTTTACCTGTCATGTTGAGTATACAGAGGAATATTTACCTGACATGTTGAGTATACAGAGGTGTTTTACCTGTCATGTTGAGTATACAGAGGAATATTAACCTGTCATGTTGAGGTATACAGAGGTGTTTTACCTGTCATGTTGAGTATACAGAGGAATATTTACCTGACATGTTGAGCATACAGAGGTGTTTTACCTGACATGTTGAGTATACAGAGGAATATTTACCTGACATGTTGAGTATACAGAGGTGTATTTACCTGACATGTTGAGTATACAGAGGTGTATTTACCTGACATGTTGAGTATACAGAGGAATATTTACCTGACATGTTGAGTATACAGAGGAATATTTACCTGACATGTTGAGTATACAGAGGTGTATTTACCTGTCATGTTGAGTATACAGAGGTGTATTTACCTGTCATATTGAGTTTACAGAGGAATATTTACCTGACATGTTGAGCATACAGAGGTGTTTTACCTGACATGTTGAGTACACAGAGGAATATTTACCTGACATGTTGAGCATACAGAGGTGTTTTACCTGACATGTTGAGTACACAGAGGAATATTTACCTGACATGTTGAGTACACAGAGGAATATTTACCTGACATGTTGAGCATACAGAGGTGTATTTACCTGACATGTTGAGTATACAGAGGAGTTATTTACCTGACATGTTGAGTATACAGAGGAGTATTTACCTGACATGTTGAGTATACAGAGGAATATTTACCTGACATGTTGAGTATACAGAGGTGTATTTACCTGACATGTTCAGAGGAGTATTTACCTGACATGTATATACAGAGGAGTATTTACCTGACATGTTGAGTATACAG